AGGACTTTACTAGAAGACACAATAAGATCCTACGATGTATCCACTTGGTACTCTGCAATAAGAACGGTCTGAAAGCATTCCCGTGCTTGCTAAGTCATTATATTCTATTCAGGAGGTCGTCGCGAATGATAATGTTAAGATCAGAGTCGATATGCGAGTGGAAACTGAAATCAGAATAAAAGCTGATCGACCCGATATCATGATACACTATTGTAAAAGCGACGTAAAGTAATCCTGCTTGAGGTTGGCATCACTAGTCAAAACAAACTGACAGCAGTCAGGACCGAGAAAAAGCGGAAATATGACCTACTTGCTAATAAGTTTGGGTCAAGATGAAGTGCAGGACCAAAATAATTCCGTATGTGATGACTTGGGATGGGATTGTAACGAACTCCCACAAACGCTACACGGAGATCAGTATATCCGACCACGTCGAGGTATCCATTCATTGACAATTCTCAAGAAGACGCTTGAAAGCATCTCCTCCGGCAATCGATATGGTTTCCACGAGGACGAAGTGAAAACGATGAGCACAACAAATCTGAGCGCGGTATAAGTATAGCCAGAGTGCCGGAATGCTATTCAGCGTCAGAACCAATAATGCAAAGAGGAAAACTAACCCCCACCTGTATGTTTATATACATATATGACTGCATATTGATCGGCTCTGCCGAGCTGGCAACTAGTTCAATCGCATCACAAAACAAGGAATGGAGTAGGATAAACGCAAAAACCGAGCCTAAAATCGTAAACGAAAGGTGACGTTGTCAAAAAAAACTTAGTGGAACATATGGGGAAACGCTCGACTAAGGTACCCAAACCAGCAGAATTGCGTGCCTGGTGAGTACAGCGAGAATGCCGGGAGACGATCCAATGAAAGAATCAAGAAATCATTAACTCCCGACATGCTTCATCTCCTTGCTGAATATATATATGAAGTACTGTGACATAACTGACGACCATTTAACCCATTAAGTCCTGACTTACAGCGCTTACCAGTTCCGGTGAGTACTACCTAGTGCTTCCATGTTTTCGACACTAATACCCTAAGATTGCAACCACGTCGCCCCTTCACATTACTGAGGATGTCATCCTATTACAATCAAAACAACACAGACGACACTGGCCCAGTGTCTGTTCCCGATTTCTCAAACAATTCTATCATGATAAACTAACGAAACTTCTTAGAAAATATTTATACTGTCGTAATAAGGCTGTGTGTGAGCTTCTACACTTCCGAATTGATTTTTGAGTTTCCTATGGTAAGATTGAATGTATTTAGTGAGGTTCCCATGTAATTAATACAATTACAGCCCAAGATAAACTATAAGTTAAACAACTTTTAGTTTGAAATTATAGATGCTTCAAAATAACAATAAAGAATGATTATAACTTACGAATTTACTGAATATTGCTACAGAGAAGACGAAATACTGGGCAAAAACAAATTTAAAATAAGATATAAAGTTTGAAAACAAAATCTGCAAACATTTCCAAGTGTAAAAGTATAAAATTAAAGTAAGTGGATAATCGACAAATACAAAGTACTGAGTTTGAGATTGAAATAAACATAAGACTGACTTTCTGTCAAAACTTCCATCAAAAATTGTGAAGATTCAAAAAACTCATGAAGTGAAAATAAAAAGTGCGCACGGACAACACTAATAAAACAGAGTAACTAGAACGAAGGAGAATACATGAGAGATATCGTGATGAAGAACAATATTAACAACACTGTAGCTCCATTAAAGTTTGCAAGGATAATTTTTGATGTTGAACATAGCTGATGACGAAGCTATGATATGAAATAAAAACCCGTCTACAAGGACATGGGGTAATTTGCATATTAGTGAATCCAATCTTCCGTAAAATATATTGGCTGAAAGGAAGAATGCAAAAAAATCAGAGAGCTTTTCATCAAGTAAAACGATTATTCATTACTTCTACAGAATTAAAAGCATATCTACCTGCAACTCGTAGGACTTCCCCCATCTGTAAGCATCCATCTTTAATTCAAGTTATTAAGAGCAATCAAGAAGTGATGTCAACTACCACCAACAATTGCGATTATCTTGTTGAAAGTTACCATACTCATCGGGTACTTTAAACAAGAAGTGATGTCAACTACCGCCAACATTGCAATTATCTTGTTGAAAATTGCCATACTCATCAGATAATTTAAACAACCATAAAAACTACAAAAGCTATCACATTATTACTATACTAAATCACCATCAATGTGAGCTAAATTAAGAGGCGTAGTATGCAGGCCACCACGCTGCAAAAAAGTGCTCAGCATCATAGGACTGCCATTATCAGTAGACTGTATACTAATAGGCGGACTAGGATTTATATTGCGTGGCTTATGTACTGGACGTGGCAAATCCATTTCTTTCACCCGAATTACCCGTGTTAAAGAGCCTTCATCGTAATAATTAAGAGATGCATTGTCAATATCTGGCACCTAAAAAATCATTTACCACTTTTTTTATCCGTGACTTTTAATTTGGTAAAATCTGTCGACTACTTGACATGGCATAAGTAAAAAGTAACAGGACATTTACTCCATGCTACATATGTCTTGAGCCATCTCATAACTTTAGAAAGCTTGCCAATCGAGATTAATAAGTTGCTAGCCTTTGCTGTGAATTTTATAAAATAAAAGGATGAACATACAGGTTGAAGTACACTAACAAAATTCTGATGCGTTGTTCGTAACGTATTCGTCTTCGTCACATCACCATATAAGCTTGCTAAAAAGAACTTTGAATAAATTAAATTCAAAGTAGATGCATAATAGTCTGCTAAGAAAGGGAATTATGAAAGCAATAATATATCTATATATTTCTAACTTACGATCAAATCTATATCCAAGCAAATAATCCCGATCGCAATAGTTAGTTGGATCTACCTGCTGTACACATCCGTTTGGACTAACCTCCTCAAAACAGAAATTCAAAGCAACATATTTAAGTAATAAATTTACTAGAAAGTGACTGTTCGAAGCCATTTAAAGGTATTTAACTGAGTACAAGAAGTAGATTTGAAAACACATACGATCATAGTTCGTACGCTTTGATCATCCTCCGAATTCAATTCATGACATAATTCACTTCTGTTTGTAGCCACTGATTCCGGTCTACATGGACTATCAACATTTGTTAGGACCCCATACATCTGCACAACTCTCGTATCAGACCCACCATTATTATTCGTAGTAGCATTCATGTTTCGGACCATCTCAGTTTTTTCTGAAAAATTATCAAGAAGGTTAACCAAATGTATTACGACATAAAAACTTAAGAATTAAAGTTCAAAAGTGGGTGATGCAATAAAGAGCTAACCTTGCATTTTTTTCTGGCGTCTCCTTTTCTGCATGTAACAGAGTAAGAAACAATTGATTAAGAGTAGAAATGAATAGCAAAAACCAAATAAAAGGACCACCGGTGCAGGAAATGGATCATTCTGCAAATTAGGAGATTTAAGTATTCCAAAAAAGTTAAATACATGTACTGAAGAAAATGCCATCTTTATAAAACAAGAGGACTGTAAACTTTAGAGACACTTAGGATGTCCATTCCATATTCATCTTTCGTAAATACAGCAATTGGCGGTTGCGAGAATTTCGATGCCAAACCACGTGTGTTCACTGCTCGGATTGAAATTTCATATAAACAAGCTGGTTCAAGTCCTTGAATTTCAACTTCCTAAAACCACTCAAACATTATAACATAGCACTGAACAACGCTGTTCGGTTTACCACCTTCATAGAATAAAAATACATGTTCCGTCCCACACTAAGTTTAGAGAACAGACAGAACATTTATTAAGGAATAGATTACCTAATATAAAAACAAACGAGATTTGGGGACAAGAGATTTCACCAAACACTATATCAAAAACTTTAAACACAAAGCTAACGGATAGAGACGAATTGATGGAACGATATATGTTTTCTGTAGAAGTCTGATATCGTAGTTCGAATATCTGTTCTGAGCCTCCGTTAAAACCAGGAATCCAGGAGAAGGATAACGAGTTTTTCGTTACATTTGAGACTCTCAAAGCCAATGGTGTCTCTGGTGCTGTCGGTGGACCAATGCGGATTTCAACAACATCTTTCCCAAATTTATTGATGGCGAAACATTTCACTGGATGTTGATAGTCAACAAGCTCCAGATTAGATATATATAAGATACTCTAAAAGAACTCTTATAACACAACTCTCGCAACAATTTGTTTGATGATTCAAGACGACAAATCTTCTGTGCTGACCTCAAATGTGGAATGATTAAGATGATGAGTTGTGAAAGAGAACTCAGAATTATTTCGTTTGATTGGACTAGATTCGCCCTGAACTACCCACTGGAATTTAACATCTGGAACAGCGCGTGCAACACAGCGTACTTCTAAGGGATAACCCAAAGATCCAGCTGCTCGCAACAGCGATGGCTGCTTGATGATTACAGGAGCGTGATGTACCAATAAGTAAGCCACTGACTTATTAGCCTTAAATACAATAAATGTATCTTAAGAACAAAAAAATGATAAATCATTGCAAACTAACCACTCCAATTCCATTATCCGCGACACAGACATAAGCACCACTTGTTTCGAGCGAAGCATTCAACCGCATAACAGCCCTGGTCCTTCCAACAAGAAATACTTCTGTAATGATCCTATCATTACGTAACCATTTTACCATATCATCATGCTTTGGTTCGCCATCTACTTCACATTCCATGACAACTTCCTCTCCAACCGAAGCCATTACTGGCGATGTTATGTACGTAACATACGCCGCATCTGAATATGAATACCAAAATAATATTTAAAACGCTCTGTAAGCCACTCGCATTTTTTTTTGCAAATAATTTCAACTCAAACTACAGATTTGAACAATTTATACATGTAATGAGATGATATATGCCTTCATAAATGGCTAAGTAAAAACAATCTTTTCATATTATCTGAAACTGACAAACACTATACTTACATCTAACAGTGATATGAATAGAGATATTAACCGTTCCAACATTATTCTCAGCTACAAGCGTGAAAATACCGCTGTCTAATCTACTAACTGACTTTCCTGACAAAGAAGACTCTGCAATTAGTTTCATTAAAACATCGGTATAGAAAAATTGACCAGCAACTAACATAATTCCAAAATATTCTTTCTGTTAATAAAAACAATAGGTGCAGAATATTGAAGAAAATACCGTTGACAATGACTGATCCAACCATATGCTTGAAGTCGGAACCATCCTTACGCCATTTCCAAATATTCACTGGTGGATTAGCACGAACTACCAAATTTTCTTCAAAATTCTCTCCTTCGTCAAGTACAATCGTAAAAGATTTGCCTTCTTTTGAAAGGATTCGAGGAGGATCTGGTAGATATTAAGGTTCAAATTGATAAAACCAGTCCAAGAAGTTGACCTTTTTCAATTGAGAATTCACTCCAGATCGAAAAGAAAAACTCACAAAGAACATTCAATGTGTACACTGCAACTTTTTGCCTACGCCACACTGGATGCATTGCAATACACTGAACTTCGCCATTCATTGCTTCTGTTGAGACGAATTCGATGGCGCTTTCTGCTTCATATCCACCATACTCTCCATCACTAAAAAATAAAAAAAAACTTAATTAACATTCAATAATCACAAAATACTCGACATCACACACTAAGTAACCAAACCAACTCACGATCGATTACTGATTTTCTCCTCGAATATTTCAGAGCCATCAACGTTTGGGAATTTCCATATTAACCTAGCAGTTGGATTTGAAGAATGAGACAAACAAATGAGTTTCGTGACTTCTCCCTCTATAATTAATTTCTTGTCTGGGTCATTCTGGCTTATTGTAACTCGCCGTGGTGGAACTGAAAATTATTTCCGACATCAACATCACACCAGCGTCGTCATTCTGCACTTCCTCAAGACTCTCAATCGGTTGCAAAATAAACCTGAATTTGTTTGCCCCCAAAACAATTTATTTAGCACTTACACATCACTTTTAACGTCTTTGCAATAACAAGTGGTTCATCTAATGCACCATTTCTAGCTTCACACTTAAGCTGTTGACTGTTCATTGTACGATCAAGAAGAATAGATATTGTACTTGACGAAATGTCACTGACTATGGCACTTTGACTTTCTTGAAGCTTAAATTTCAATCGATGGTTGAATAAAAAACAAGGAATCAAATAAAGCAGAAAACGAAGCATTAGTGTTATGCAAATCAGAAGCAACAAAATGTATGCAAACTGAGCTGTACTCACTCGTGATTGGAAGTCTCAATATTTGATTTTCTAAAATGAAAAAACAGCATCGAATTGGTGACATTCTTTAATTTGCAATAGATAAGTAGTCATTAAAATAAACATCTAAAACAACAGTGAACACAAAACAAATCTCAACTCAATGCCTAATCTTTTTCCATAAAATTCTATCTTTAAAAATTCCACTATAATACTGCACCTCTTCTAAATAGTTGGAAACATTGAAAGTCAGAATTCCTGCATCTAATAAAGCCAGTAAACCTAAATAACTGCATGATAATTGAGCTGTATGAATTACTTCGATTTCACTATATCAGGCTATATTTATCACGAAGATACTTGAAAACTTGAAGGTTTTAAGTGACCTTTTCGACTCCCTTAAACCATGCTAGTGTTGCAAGTGGATTCCCTCCACGAGCTTCACAAGTAAGATTTATGAATTCGCCTTCAACAAGAGTAAGATCATCAAGTCCGTAAATAACTGGATCCGTAGGTGGTGCTAAAACCTGAGAATTTAGAATGACAAGACATAAACTTATCCTAACCAATATTAACGTGTCGCAAAGATAACTTACAGAGGAGGTGGATGATTATCTGTTTACTTGCCGCCCCTTCGTCATTTCTGGCTACGCACTGAACTTGAAACTGGTGCTTGACAGGATCTATATCAGTTAGATTCATGGTTAAATTTGAAACCGTAACAGTACCAACAGTTTGTTCCAAGTGTATTTGGCCAGTTGGTGGTAGAAACTTCCCATCAATTAGCCAAGAAATCCTTGATGGTGGATTTGAGGGTCTGTAAAGTGATCCCTACAGAAACATCAAATATACAGGAACGAATTTCTGCATAAATCATTCATAATATAAGACTGGTGAATTTATTTCCAAGAACAATGGTTCCATCAACATACTCGGTTCTACAACGTACGGTGAATTCGTGTTCGATTCGAGCAGTTGTTTTGCTATATATTTCTACACTACGAGGGGCATCTATAAATCAAGAATTAAGAATTGGCAGTCAATAGCAATAATTTGAAAAGTCAAAAATAAAGAAATTACATGCAACGAGAAGCCGAATGCTTTCGAAAAGTGATTCCTTAGTGGCCAAGTTTGAAGCATGACATCCATATACTGCTCCATTATCATTCGCGTCAACTACGATTGAATAACTACTTTTAGTTTCCTGTACAAGAAAAAAGTTAAAACCTATCACATCATTTTTTTTAATAATGATATTAATAACTACGACATTCAAAGTACTACTATGACATGGTCAGTTCTTTCTTTTAAGCGTCAGACGGAAGATCAGTGCTCTATATATAGTTGCTATAATGCAGGAGGATTTTATTAAAAATACGAACATGAATCATTGATTTCTTACTGTTCCTGAATGAAGAATAATGGTTCCGTCAAAAACGCATCTATGAATGAGACAATGATTCTCAACCAATATTTGGTGCACTCTCATTCTAAGGCGATTAATGCTCTATGCAAATAATAATCAGTAATAATTGATATTTTTCATCTAGTAATTGAAAAAGTAGTACATGAATTACTACAGTCTGACATAAAATAAAAAGCATAGCGGAATTGAAAATAGCGTACTCTTGTTGAAACATTATATTTATAGTGGCTATCAATAAAATTTTGTTGAAACCGCCAAAAAAGCTTGGGAGGCGGATTGCCTCCAATAACTACACATTCCATGGTCAGATTATCACCGGGCTTCAAAACAGTTAACCCACCAGGAATTTTGATTTTTGGCACACTTGAAGGATCTGCAATTAAATAAATACCAATCAATCACTTACTGGTAAAATGAATTTGCGGAACTGAAACATCCAACGTTGCGCGTACGAAAATACAATTCCCAATATTTCAACAAATCCTAATTTGAACAATCTATGTTCATTTATACTGAGAAGAAACTAAAGAAAACAGAATAAGTTAGCTTACACTGAACATTGAGTGTAACATTCCTTCGAAAATGGCTAGAAGTGTACGGATGCAAAACTTCACATGTGACAACCGCACCCATATCATCTCTCCTATAACACAAAAACTTGATGCAATTTGTTTCACACATAAAGTTTTTATACAGCAACCATCAAAATCACTGATTTTAAAATGAACGAAGCTTGCCTAGGCCTCCAACTGAAAGTTGCGAACGTAATGACTGTTTTGTTTGGATTTTCCTGCGTCCATCTATGGATATTGTCACGAATTTTCTTACCACGAACATACCAATTTATGATAGCTTGGGGCTTTCCATTGGCTGCCAAACAAGTCAGATTGAAAATATTTCCTTCTGTCACATTGATGATAGAATCAGGGAATGCATTCATAAGTGTTACTTTTTGAGGTGGTACTGCAAAGAAAATGAGACAAGAGTGGTTAATAAAACATAGGCAATAAGAAGACATGAGTCTGTATTATGAACTGAATTGTCTCTGAAAGATAAAATATCAGGAGGGATATGATTTAAAGCAAAATTGCTTCACTTATATTCACCAAAAAATTCGAAATGAGCACTGACCAACTTGGCTATATTGCATATACAGAAAATTTGATAAACTGCCAAAGATGAATGATGGGTTATGTTAATCATACCTAGAACTGTGATCAAAGCAGATGTTCGAAATGGACCCAAGCTTGGATGCGTCATTTGGCACTCAAATAGTCCATCATCCCCCAATGTTACATTCTCTATTCTTAGATGCTTTTCATTCGAGTGGTCCAATACGTAATAATACCGCCCTTGATGTCCAGCAAGTTTCCCAGCACCATGAAGACTGCAAGATTACCTTAATTTTCCTTGTCTTGGAATCAGTGATTTGTTTATTTGCATTCAACATTTCAGCATAAACCTCATGTTCTTTGAATTTGGAATACTATGAACACATTTTGTTCGCAAAAAACATTACCGGTATAGTAACAAATGCTACGATATCATACTATATCAGAATCTTGAGAATTTCGCATTTCTTATGCAATAAGAACAATACCCAAATAATGACTACCTCCTTAGACTATAAAAATCAAATAGAAAAACATAATACCCCAGAAGACTCCCATCATTACTACGCCACTGACTAGCCAAAGCATCTGATGCTGAATGGTCAGCAGAGCATCGCAGAAGGACACTTTCACCAAGTAAGACACTCTAAACTTTCAAAAAATAATGAAATATAAATGTGGGTCAAGAAGACTGAGTGGCGCAAAAGTTGATACAAAACTTTCCGAAAAATATACTCAAGCTTGACAGAAAGAGACTAACCTGATTTTTCGGTTCTTCTTTAAAGAAATTATGAACAAAACCAAATGTTAAATGTCCTCCCAAAAAAGTAACAGTGAAATGCAAAATGAACAGCATCTCATAGCAATACCTAAAATTGTACAGTGAGAATTACCAACACCAATTGCCTGTTGACAGAGATTCAACATGAAAAAATATCAACGAAATTATTCTGGCCTAGATCCCTAAGACATCATTGAGTTTTTGAAATTATTTATAAGAAATGAAAGTTTTGGGGACAATCTTGCAAAGTGTGAAATCAAAATATTACTCCGCTGGAATAAAACGAGATATAAGAGAGAGGCGGTAATGTAGTGAACTGGATTAAACAACAAAAGACTTGGACAAAATTGAAAAGTCTCTGGGGGCAAGAGAGGAAAACGTATGTCTCCAAATTGCAGTGATAAATGTTAGTACTCAGTACTATAAACGATAGCTTCGAAGATTTCAAATGTAAAGAAAGTTCATGCAATATATCTTGAATTATGAAAATATAATTGTCGGAAAAGAAGAGGAAAAACCACTTATTCGACAGTGATAGTTAATTATTATCATAAAAACTAAGCAGTGAAGAGGTCATTTACACCACGTAGTTCAAGTCTGCTTCATTTCAGTAATTTCTATTTTGAATTAGAAAATATTTGCTTTCAAATAATGTGACACTGAAAGAAAAACAAGTAGACTTGATGCATAGTGAATTGCAAAAGCTCAGTTTCATTTAAATAGTAGTGAATGAAGGAGGAGGAGATATCACATTTCAATTTTTGGGAGCCAGATGAGACACAAATTTACAGTAGGCAGTCCAAACTGACTTCGTTTTTATAAATAGGTTTTGTGCGACGGTGACATATAGAATGATTAATTCTTCTACACAGACAGAACAATGGCGCCATACAGAAGTCTAGCCAACAATAGCAGAGCATTTCTGAGAATAACACAGCATATCTATCAGGACAGAGACAACATATATGGATACTTGCAGCAAAAGCTACTCTGTTAAATGAAGAGGTTGCTAAGAAGAAAACAGTACCACCAGAACTGCGAATAGGAAAGCATTTCCTCCAATTACACAGACGTATTTCTTGATAAATTACTTCAATGATTTATTTGCAAAATGACATCAGTATCATCTTAATACAATGCAATACCTCCAGTGAGCTTTCAGTATTCATTGACTCATCTTTACTCATGCCCTAGCACAAAAATAAAGATTTGTTAGACTTCCCGGAAAACATAAATAAACAATTCATACATAATTTTTCAAAGACACAGAGAAGGTCTAAAACTCTGAGTACGATCAAACTGTATTGCTTTGTAGGTATGACTGCAAGATATATTAATACGAAAATGAGCACCAGTTCCATTTATGATTCCACATTACGGAAAGAAATGCCTGCTTTATCTTTGCATGTTCTTCTTGAACTTCTGCACTTTTCGGCATAATATAGTCACTCCTCAGATTCGTTCCCAATGAGAGTTTCCCACTCTATTTTAAAACAAACAGCAGAATAACAGTATAATGACTAACGTAGAAAAAGAAACAGCTCGATTTTAGAACCACATCAGTTGAAAATATACTTACTCAGAAGACATCTTCAGTTAAAATTAAAAATGTTAAAAACATGAATATTCTAACTAAAGATACGTCCATGAATTCCATTTCAAAAGGAGACTAGAATTTATAATGATACTAAACTAATATTACATATTCGGAAGACCTCAATAAGATACAATAAATCTTCAAAACTGTTTCTCATCCTGCCAACTCAAATAATTTTGGTCTTGGCATACCTTGTCCTGACTTTTTTTCTCATTACCGCAGCAGGAAGAAGCATACCTACTTTTCGTGTTGCATCTAGGTTGAATTAGTACTGTAACAAAATTACTAACTCAGTCCTCTGTATAACTTGCTTCAAATTTCCGAAATCAACTATTTCTGATTAAATAATGCAGTGAATAAAAAATTCCCGTGGACGCCTTTCACAGGTTAGGCTTGTCATAGAAGATTAAAAGAGTAAATAAATAACTATAAAAGATAGCATCCAATTAAAATTTTATACATACTGCTCTATTATTCAAATTTAAGTATGCAATAATAAGACAGAATATAAATAAAAGGAATAAGCAAGACCCAAACTAAAGATTCGAAAAATTGAGGTTGGAGATGATTAATTTGGCAGGAGAGATGCAAAGGATGAGTGGGAACTTCAAGCGATCTACTTATTTGAAAGAAAGAGGAAGGAACCATTGTGAAAAATAAATAAGCTAAAATAAGAGGAAAGATGAAGTATGAATGGATAAAAAAGAGTAAATTTGAAGGATGCCTGAAAGCTGTTTGAAACAAGTTACCAAACCCATTATTTAGGTCTTCTAGCAACTGCATTATTAACCAAAAGCGAAGTGAATAAGCAAGTTTCGACTTGGAATATGTAAAAGTGGGCGGAAATAAGTGAACTTTGCACTCACGTCCGCAAATTTTTTTCTAATGCTTTAGAGTTATATGTCAGTCACCATCGTTTAGTGATTATTGTTTCAGATTTCGCAAGAAAACGTTTTAAAGGATTCATTTCAGGAGCATCAAATCTTAAACAAATATAATTAAATCACAATCCATTTCATCTTCCAGGTCTACTCTCTATATATAATTTTTTTCCAAGCAAATAATAAAACAACATTCAGTGGACCATGCTAAATGCCGCTGCAATTACACATTGCTTTTGACTTAAGTGTAAACTTTATTTTCATTTTTAACTTTTTTCGACTTCATTATTATTTTTTATGCTTAATTTACTACAAGGCTCAGATTTCATCTTAATTTCTAACACATTAGCAGATCTGCCCGTCTGTTTTTGAGTTCACAACAAACATCTTTTTCACAAGAAATTACTTACGAAATCATGCCGCTATTCCCGGATATAGCAATGACTAATTTCTAACTAGTTAGCTCCACTTTGTTGGCGTCAAAATAATATTAAAACTAATCATTTTACATCTAAACATTTGCTACTTCAAACTAATTAAAAGTCATGACGACATTCTTGTAACGAAATGACAGGAATTTATATTTCTTAAATAAAGTGAATATCATTTAGTTGACCTTATTCTTTCAGAATATTTCTCAGTTCGCTGAAAAGCAGAGCAGTAGGTGAATATTCATTTTTGCTTTCAATGGATGCAATAAGTAGATTAATCACGATGCGTGAAAGCAAGTGAAATGCTTCGAATAACTGCTTTTTCCAACTACAACATTTTCGTGCGTTTAGCAACAATTGGCTGAGCTACCTTGTTCACTTGACCATGTCTTAGTAATATGACCCTAACATAAGAAAGTTCACCTCTTCAGCCTAGTACTGCGACCACTACTACATAAGATTACCAACTACTTTTATTGTACTGATAGCAATATTATAAATAACTTTTAAGAAATTGAAAAGAATTTGAAGTTGACCAATAAAATTAACGGTATTCACAAATTACGATTAAATTTTGTAAGCGCAGAACATTTGTAAAATTTATTCTTCCATTTTGGGTTATAGAAGCACTTAAATAGAACTTGCCAATCTTGATCGCATCCCGACTAGCAAGAATTTTTTTCTAGATGAAATGAAAAATTTTTTTCAATAATACAAATTAATGAATCAGAAACAGCAAAAAAGATACTATTCACCACAAATCAATTAATAAAAGAAAGATTTTGAAGAATACATGAAGATTAATGTAGATCTTAATTACATAAAACTGAAAAGAGTAACAATCTCAAAAACCAGCAACACAAAGCGTTTTCAGAACATTTAGTGCTCAATAACTGTGTCAATATCAATTTATAAAAGTAGCATTAAATGTTTAAAATAGACGATTCAAAAATTCCAAAAATACTAAATAATATGATGAAGAGATGATACAAAAAATTACGTTTCACAATTATCGCACTAGAAGCTGAGGGAATACTCAATTATGAGAAAAGCACCGGCACTGTCACCACAAATATAATTGGGAGAAAGGAGGAAAGAGCAAAAGTTTCTTTTCTGTATTAAGTCATATCCATAAATTGGTTTTTAACCTCGAATTTCTTATTGTTATTTATATGAACTATCATAAAGCAGATCATACTTGATATTTGAAGAGAGGGTCAGAGATAGCATGTGTACCCCATACGGTATTACTAGACTTTCGGTACATGCATAGTGCGATTTTTAAACTATTAATGAGTGCCCAATCAAAATTTAAAAAAATGAAATTCGAAGTACAAAAGAAAAGTTATATGCTCGCTAATGATGATAGCTAATTGCAGTTTGCAGCTGATGGAGTGTTAGAAGAAAAGCAAAATATATATCATATGCATGCGACTAAGTCAATGCATCGCATAAACTGAAAGCACAATAAAGTGTCGCCAAAATTTGCATGAAACAGATGGAAGATAGGTGATTGTCGATCATTTAAAGTCCGAAAATCAATGGCTTAATAAATAATTTGTTATTTGTTTGTCAAGAAGGAAAGAAATGAGAAGGACAACTTTTATTTGACCTTTCTACTTATCCAAGATAATTCTAATGAGAGAACGACCAGCCCAACATTAGCAACGACACTCAAAAGAACTAAGCTTGTTAAATATTATGTATTTAAATACAACTTCTTGTCTCTCTCTTAACACTTCGAAGAAATATTGTTTATGATGCTTTGTTCGATAGAGAAATGATAAACATAATACTGAGTAACAATAAGTTCAATACACAGTTACAATAAATAAGCAATAAGAAAATTAAGTGTTACTTGTCTAGGCAATCAACCGCTATTTAAGAAAGCATTACTTTTAATGCCGCCCCTAAAAACTGATGTCATGTTGTGGGTAATTAAACTTTACAATATACTGTCCATTGTCATCTGATCTGTACACAGACTCGCGGGCTGACCTTTGTGACTAGTGCGATATCCACAGAGGTCGTCTATTATTCACTTCCATCATTTGGTTTGCAGTATCACTAACACATCAGGCTATCTGACCTCATTCATGTTTATTATAGAGTTAGAATCGTACTATAAACCTATTTTTAAGCAGCACCGTTGCTGAACAAACCCAAATTTGTTGAAAGGATGGTAATAATGAGTCACAATGTTATATGCTCATTCCAACAAAGTGTGCGGTTAAACATATTCAACAGGTAATCTCGTATATCTGTTTGCCTCAAACATAAATACCAGTGAATGGATAAGGAAATGCGGAATTAAGAGTAGCAAACCGATTAAGAAGAGAACGAATGACTGCGGTTGCCGCAAACGTATTCATTATTATTAAGGGAGAAAGAGTGATATTAGCTAATGGTCTCTGAAGCAGAAGATTACATTAGTAGTTGAAGGTTATTTGATTATCTTAGAGATGAAAACGGCGAAAACGTTCAATTTTCAGATATTTGTTTTCTATAGTTTTTCAGCAAAGGTACAGTGAAAATACATACCAATCACAACCTCCTAATTCCCCAGATTTGAGCAAGGTTACCAGTAGCCGACATTTTAAGAACAACAAAAAATGGAAAAAAGGAGTATGAACGATTGAAGTTACTTTTCTTGCTGTGAGTCCGAGTCCGATGATTACATCATGGCAAGAATGATTACATCAAGGAAAGAAGAGAACCAATGACCGCTTCAAGATATATATATGTATATGTACAAGAAATCAATTTAAAACACTACAATTTTGTTCAACAGAACTTTAAGTATACCATTTCTTCCTCTTCCTCCCACCAGCCATCTATTTCTTTCCTGCAAACCTCACTTCACCAATACAACTTTCATTTGCGACTTTCAATTAATGCATAGCATGTGCACATAGAGTTGACCTGCCTTCTAACTTTTTTTCACACAATTCTCCAATTAAAAAAAAGACAATCAGTAATCCTCTAATGTCTTTCTGGTCACTTATCTCTCAGTACAACCGTTAATTTCGAGTAATTTAGTTCAAATGAATTTTTTAGTCAAATTTACTTCCAAACATGAATGTACTTTACTGTTCAATATCTATTATTAATTAAATAAATACGAAATAACAATAGCAATAAAAGAATTCGAACAAGTTTCTACCACTTCATAAATAATCTGCACATGATGATGAGCTCGCGAACGTTTCCATGAGTGAAAAGGTTAGCTAGTGAAAAAATTAGCATGTTAATATGTAGGAATTAAATATTAGCCTGAAAAAGTAACGACAAATTGCCAAAAAAGAACGGGTATTTTAAACCTGATATATGAAAGGATAAAAAGATTAGTGGCTTTAGCAGGTGGGGCGATTTAATGTCAGCTGAGAGTTGGAGAACTGCTAATTCTCTTTTAACACTTCAAAACTTTAAAGCTAAATTTTGCTTATGACCAGCAGTTCTTCTAATCCCACGTTGTACTTGAAATGTTCTTCAGAATTTTAACTAACACACAAATAAACCTTTTACAATTTGAAAATATTTTCGCTTCAACGGATATGGTTCGCACTCAACAGACCCAGTTGAAGTCAAGGTATTATATGATACCAGAAAAATCTATTATTATCATCGCAGAAGCAGAAGGGAGATTCAAAATGGAAACAAGCTCTTGCTTAATCACAATCATTAGCGAGAAGCTTCAAGTCTTTCGCTATTTGACGAGTAGTAAATTCGAACATTAATTACAACAGAGGGAACTTTTCTTGGAACAGACATCAATATTGATAGGCTTTTCTTTTAGTCTTCACCATTTTGATTCACCTTTATGCTGTCGTACTGAAATGTAGTAGGCATGCATGAATAAAATTGAGTAGTACACATATTGTTTCTTATACATATCAAATTTCACACTCGCCTGAGTTGACAAGCGGTTGAACTGTATCACAAAGTAGGAAATAGAGAGTGAATGGAAAAAAAAGCGAATCTGGAATCACAACAGAAAATGAAAGGAAAACAGATAAGCCGCTAGTGTACCGTAACCAGCAGTACTAAATGCCGTATGAATATAGCGAGAGTGCTGGAAAACAATCCAAAACCAGAACCAATAACGTACGAAAAAAGATTAACTTTCGGACTGATAAACACGATATATATGTATATATGTATAGTGTCAGAACCAATAAAGCAAAATCGAAAACTAACCTCCGTATTTCATTTTATTTTATATATATATATATATTCAAATATAAATATAAAAAATATACATTTCTATATTTATTTTCGGTTTGTCCGGATTTGTAATGCTGAACTCCGTTGCTTCATCCTCGTCGAATTCACGGTGTTGATCGAAGATGCACTCAAGTATACTAGAAAATACAATGAGGTGCTATGATGTCGTCGCTAATGAGAACGTTAAGATCAGAGTCGATATGCGAATGAGAGCAGCTATAAAGATAAGTGCGGATCGACTGGATGTTATGATACACGATAAGAAGCGACGTGAAGTGATCCTGATAGAAGTAGGGATCACCAGTCAGGACAAGTTAACAGCACTCGAGACCGAGAAAAAGCGAAAGTATGACCTATTTGCTAATTATCTTGGGTCAGAGATGAAAAGCAAGACCAAAATAATTCCGTATATTATGGATTAGGATGAGATTGTAACGAACTCCCAAAAACGGTATGCGAAGGAAATCTGTGTATCTGATCACGTCGAGACATACATTCAATCGATAGTTCTCAAGAAGACGCTCGAAAACATCTCCTTCGATAATCACCATGAATTTCACGAGATGAATTTCACGAGGACAGAGCGAAGAAGATCAACAAAACAAATCTGAGCGTGGGACAAGTACAGGCAGAGTGTCAGTAGTATAAGATGAGGCGCCAGAATCAAGAAAGCA